AGTAAGTTTGCTCAGAGCTAAATTACTTTGTTCCTTTGTTGATGGCTGTGGCGCAGCTGCTTGGAGGGAAAAAAACAAAAACAAACAAAGAACACACATGCACAAAAGAGAAGTTTGCTCAGAGTGAAATTCGGTGTGCTTACGGGAGACCAAAGTTGGCGGGCCCAAGTGGAGGGCAGATTCACACAGCTCCTCCAGGCGGATGGAGAGGGAGCAGGAGTGGTTGGGGAGGCGGGAAACAGGATTTATGATGGCGGAAGAGAAAGCCACATCTGCTGGTAGAACCCCAAGCCAGTCCCGTTAGTGGTTTTGGGTGAGGGGTTGCTGTAAATTCTGACTCATTGCCAAAACCCCTGCCTAGGGCGAGAGGCACCAGCCCAAGGTTCAGAGCAGAAAGCTCCAAGCCTCATCCCCAAGCCTTGCTCTCAACCCTCTGAACAAACCTGATGGGGCAGCAGCAGGCCGGGAAGAAACCACTAGCTCCGGTGGCCAGCTGTGACAGAAAGAAAAATCCAGCCACAGTGCCGGCATGAAGCCCGCCCTGCTCTGCCCCTTACTCCGGAGGTGCAAGCAGTGCCATTCACATGGGGCCGCCCGAAGAAAACCACCCACTCCACGCTCGCTTGCTCGCCGGGGTTTGTGGTTTCACCCCTGCGCTCTGAGCCTTCCTAAGGTCCCCGGGTGGCTGGGCTGGTAATCAAAACGGTGGTGGTGTGAGCCTATCTAGAGGCACTTGGGAAGAAGCAGGCCCAGGGACCTGCTCCTAGAAGGATCACAGCCTCCCAAACCCCTATAAAGCAGCTGTACTCCATAACACAGGGGGTCTCCCAAGTCACAGCATAACAGCACCCCAGTAACAAAATCAAGGCTCGGCAGCATGCTGCCCACCTCGGGTGCCTGCATCTACCTGACGGAGACTGCCAGCAGCAGAGCGGCAGAGGAGCGAACAGAGGTGGCCCCATTTCTCTGAATACCAATGTGACATGAATGAGCAAAGTGGACAGCTAAAGCAAAAGACAAGACTGGCACCCCTGTCATCACACACACACACACACACACACACACGCTCCTTCTGCACAAAGCTGGGGTGAGGGGGGGGCCTAGTGCTTGAAACAAGAGGAGGGACAAAGGATAGTGAAAGAGCCAGGGAAGCTAGAAACCCCCACTCAAGTATGAGGCCCCACCCTTCATGGAGCTTCCAATCTAGAAGGCAGCCAAACAGGCCCACACATGATGGTCAATTTTATAAGGCAGGCCCAACAGGCAGGGCCAGGGAGAATGAGATCTGGTAAGATTTTCCGGAAGAAGGTGTACTTGAACTTGGCCTGGGCGGAGATACCAAAAAACCATGGGCTGCCATCAAGAGTCCAGCCCAACTCATAGTGGCCTGATATGGGGTTTTCGTGACTGCAAATCTTTACAAGAGCTGACAGCCTCATCTTTCTCCTGCTGAGTGGCTGGTGGGTTTGAACCACTGACCTTGTGATTAGCAGTCCAATGCCTAAACCACCAGGGCTCCTTTGGTTGGAGATAAGAGTTATAAAAAAGCAGTAAGGGAGAATGCAGGCAAGAATCAGTGAGCTCAGAAGGGGCCGAGTTATGTATGGTGAAAAAATAAATCCAGACCCAGGTCTGCTGCCGCACTGTGATGGGAGACACAAGGTACCTGCCAGAAATCTGACTCCACACACGACGAGCCTGTGTGGTCCCAGTAGAAATGTTTCAAGTGACTGAATTTTTCGGATGTAGATCACCAGGCCTTTCTTAGGAGGTGCCTCTGGGTA